GAGGAAAAACGAAACTGGCCCCGTTCATCTGTTTCCCCTTACTATAGTGAAATGTCTCACAATGCATACTTTCTCAGGAAAGTTTGTTCAGCTCGTGGTTTTGGAGGGTGAAACCCTAAGCATCGTCTGACTATATCATATCTTGATGAGTGCCGTCTGGGAGGGAGAGGCCATGAAAGACCACATGGCCAGGCAGGAAGTCAGCACACAGGAGGCATCAGAGCCAACTGGTCTATAACTCAACTCTTGAGGGTGCTGGGAAGCAAGCTTGGGTCCTCAGGAAGAGCAGCAGATAATCTCAACCTCTGAGCCATCTCTCTAGACCCAAGGGTCCTTTACATAAGTTTTCACTCTGTATGCTCTGTCTACCACCAAATCTTTTCTAGTTAAGTCTCCATCTTTACCCAAGAGAACAGACTCACATCCACCCACCCTTAGACGTTTTCTTCCATGTATGACACATCCAAGCACCTCAGATATGACACATACAGAAAAAAAAAAAAATTCACCATCTCGGCTCCTATCATCCCTACTCCACAGAACACCACCATTCACCCCATCTCTTAAAACAGAAACCTAGGGACTAGAGATACAGTTCAGCTATAGGATACTTGCCTAGCACTCACCCTGGACTCTGTCCCCAGCACTAAATGAAGTATTTATGTTAACACACACCTATAATCCCAGCCCTGGGGAAGTGAAGGCAGAAGGATCAAAGCCATCTCTGTCACACAAGGGATTCATGCCCATCCTGGGCTAGAGACCCTATCTTTTTTTTAAAAAGTAGCTTGTGCTGGAGAGAGGACTCAGCAGTTAAGATCACGTGATGCTCTTGCAGTGGATCTGGGTTCAGTTCCCAGCAGTTACACCAGGCCACTTACAGCCTCCTGTAAATCAAGTTCCAGGGGATCTATTGTTTTCCAGACTCTGAGGGCATTTGGACACACACATACTGCACACACATACATTTCAGCATATACACATACACATAAAATTTTTTAAAAATTAGAAAAAAGACACAGAAAACTGGGGCATTTTCAACTGCTCTTACCAAATAATCCTGATAGGGCTACTACAGCTCTGACACTCAGGCAGTGTGATCTTGGGTCAATGAATGAGCATGTCCAAGCCTTAGACTTCCATACAAGGCAAAATAAGACTGTGTGTGTGTGTGTGCGCGCGCGTGCGCGCGTGCATGCGTGCGTGCGCGTGCGCGTGCGCGCGCGCATTTTGCTAAATGTTGATCCGTTCCACTCCCTGTGGCAGACATCCTGTGTATCACTAAAATCTAGCTCAAAAAAATTCATCCATATTGTCATTACCCATCTCAGAGTGCCACCGTCTTCCCCCTAGTATTAGACATTCCCATCTCATCTTCTTATCTCTGATGTCACCCCCGTTCCAATCTGTCCCTCCTACTCTGCCAGATTGATGGTTCCCCACACAGCCCTGACCATGCCATGGGAACCCCCCACCTGCTTTATTCATTAACAGATGCCTCCCACCTCTGCTATCCCAAGTCACACCTGCGCCTAAACACTGTCCCCATGGCCCACCACACCCTTGCCACCCTCTGCCTGCCCAAGAAAAGCACACGCTTAAGACTTAGTGAGAAATACCCTTTAAAAAGGCAAAGAAAATGGAGATTGACTAAAGAGACTCAGGGACAGATACAAACCCTGACCACAGAGGTCACACACAGAAGGGAGCGAAACTGATGAGGAGGATAAATGTAGTTCTGCGTGTACCCCGCTCCCCAGTGCTCTGCCATTAAGCTACGCTCACAGTCCTAGAATGAATATATGTATGTATGTATGTATGTATATATGTATATATGTATGTATGTATATGTATATACTTGTACACCTATGTGTGTCTATCCCTCTCTCTCCTTCTCACTCTGTCCATGGGGGGGGGGGGGCAGATGGAGGAGGTTACTCATGCTTGTAAATGCAGATACCTAGTGAGGCCAGCCTCTCCTGGAGCTATAGTTGATAGGCAGTTGAGAGTTGCAGACATAAGTGCTGGGAACTACAGTCCTCTGCAAGAGCAGTAAGTGCTCTTAACCACTGAGCCATCATCTCTCAACCCCACTCAACATGTTTCTTAATAAATAAATAAATAAATAAATAAATAAATAAATAAATAAATAAAACAAAATTTATCCTGAAATTGGATAAGGCTTCTGGGAGAATAAAAGCAGAAAACAGAAAGCCACCAAGAAAAAAGACACAAATCTAACCTCACGAAAGTTAATTACTCCTGCACAACCATGCACACCACAAGGAAAGGGTAGAAAGGAAAAATTTCGATTTGTTAACAACAGGTGGATGAAAGTCCAGAATCTAGGCAGAGCTTATGAAATTGATGAGATTCCAATTCACCAGAAGGGGGTAAATGGCAAAGGAATTGACAGAGGAATGAGAGGAAATACAAGTTGATTTCTTAAATGTTACGAGTAAATGTGGAAGAATCTATTAGCATTTAAAGTGCACACAGTCAATACTGTTCCCTAAGATTTGGGATAAACTTAAAATGTCATATGCACAAGTGGGTATAAAGTATGCCACAGCATTCATTTTGAAAGGAAAAGAGAAAGATGAAAAGATACAAATTGTGCCACCTGTGGGTGTATGGATTATATCTGAAAGACAAAAACTGACAAAACTGGCTATAAGTCAAAAAGGAAATACAGGGCTAGGGAACAGGAGTGGGGTGGAGTTGTTATTTTATATAACTTGTGGAATTTTGAATGTCGTGATTTTTTTAACTACATGACCTAACCCTAAACAAGTAATCTTACATAAGTAAGATAATTAGATATCATTTTCAACAGTCCCTCAAGATCTCAATAGACAAAAGAGAACTCTTTAAACAACTGCTTAAGCTGGGTGTGGTAGCACATGCATTTAATCCTGGCAGTTGGGAGGCAGAAGCCGGTGAATCTCTGTGAGTTTGAGGCCAGCCTGGTCCATATAGTGAGTTCCGGGGCAGCCAGGACTACACAGTGAGACCCTGTCTCAAAAAGAAAAAAATATATAAATAAATAAAAAAGCTGCCTAAAATGTGTACATTCCTTGACCCACAGATTCTACTTCTAGAAATAATTTGTATCCAGAAATATTCTAAATGTGTCATAAAGAAAGATAGGCAGATAGACAAAGTTGTGGGCCATCAACAGGGAGATGTTTAAATAAATAATAGTAAATACACTATCAAGTACTATACATCCATTTAAAGGGATGAAGCTGCAGGGTGCAGTAATGCAGGCTTTTAATCCCAGCACTTGGAGACAGAGTCAGGTGGATCTCTGTGAGTTCAAGACTAGCCAAGACTACACAGTGAGACCCTGTCTCAAATAAATAAGAAGGAGAAAAAAAGGAAAAGGAAAGGATTATACTTATTATTATGAGATTGGATGATTTTTATGTCATATTGTTCAATCAAAACAATAAATTACAAAATTTATATATATATATAGCCTTATTTGTATGTTTTTCAAAAGTATATTCAACATATTCATGTTGGTTCTAAAGCTAAAAATGTAGACAATATTATTTTATGATGTCATACTGTGATGTGAATAAGTCACATATTACATATATATTATATTAAATAGTATATATAAATAATATATATTAATTAATATTAAATATATGCATATATTACATATATATCACCTATATTTCCAGGCATGGTGATGCATAAGCACTGAAAAAGACCTGGAGGGAAGGGCTTGAGTGTCTGTTCCCTCAGTAGAGTATTTGCCTTGAAAGCATGAGGACTGGGGGGAGAGGGGGGCAGGAGGTCCCCTGGAGCCCATTGGCCAGCCTAGAGGATTAGTAAGCTCCAGGTTCAAAAAGAGATGCTGTCTCAGAAAAATTTCTTCAGCACATAGGTTGACCATGGAAAGTTGCCCATGCTCCAGTAAACAATGCCCCCTCCCCCATGCACATGCAAACAACTCGAATCAAACGTCTAAAAATGACGTGAAAGTAGACGGGGTCTAATTAGGGCAGAGGGGCTTCAGTTAGAGAGGGAGAGGGGAAAGAAAAGGTAAAAGGGGTGAGCGTGGTCAAAATCATTATATACACTGTCAAAATATAAACAGTAAGGTGCAGGAAGGTTATCAACCTCTGGCTTCTACATGCACATATGTACACCACACACACACACACACACACACACACACACACACACACACACACACACCTTGAAAGGAAATACATTTGATGTGGTTACCTCTGAGGTGGAAAGAGGGTCGTGGAGCTGTGAAAAGAACTTTAATTTTTCTATATACTCCTATATTAAAGAACCTTTCCTATTAAACTGTGTTTTTGAAAACTAACCATATACCAGATAAGCTCATTCATTATGCACCCCAGGTCATACACTGTAAAGGGCAGGGTTAGGCAGTACTTAGGTCTAGGTGCTTCCGATTATTCCCAGTCACCTATGACTCCAGTATAATACAAACACAAACGCAAACAAAAACGCAAGTGTAACTCATCAGGATTTAGATTTGACAGACCAAAAATTCCTTCCTTCATGCTCCCAACTTTCCTTGAATATATCTGACCTGAGTGCTACCCTCTCCACTGCCAGACAAAGAAAAGGACCCCAGAAACAGACTGAAAACTAGTTGAAAGTATTCTTTCTTGGGACGGGATACAATCATTGGCAAGCCTGGGATAAACTGAATGAAGTATTTAATCTTTCCTCCAAACTGTGAGGCACGCTGACAGCTAACCTCATCTTGTTAGTATTTTTGGCTTTTAAAGATGCCCTTTCTCCCCTCCAGCCATGCTTTACAATGGTTCAGATAGACTGTGTCTCAAAAGGTCTAACCTAGACTGTACACTGGCAGTCTGCAGACCACAAAACACCTGGACACACAATCAATGACTCTGCATATTTAACAAAAGTGAGTTTTGAATTAAAAGCCATTTTTTAAAAAAATTGGGGTCCCCCCAAAAATTTACAGTTTCCACAAAGCTCACCTCAGACAACAATGCGTAGGGACCTTGTGATAGTATCCACAGCTGGCTGCCTCCTCATGGGGTGTCACTCTGCACATAACCTTACTTCTCCCTATACTCTGGCTTCCTGGGTAGCATCGTCCATGAAATATGTGTGTGCCATAGGACTCTACCTGGATCTGTTGACACTTAGGACAGATGAAGTTCAGACCCCAAACAGGGCACAGATCCTCTGATTACTCCATACTCCTTGATCAGAGGACATGCAATGCAAAGGGCTGCAACACAGATTTGGGGACCATAGGTCTTGAAGTCAGTGCCAAAATACCAAGCAGATCTCTTTCTGAGGTCTCTATGCTCACTCCCATCTCATTAGGTCTGTAGGACAAAAAGCTCTGAGTCAAACGACCCCCACATGCAAAGCATTGCTAAGTCAAAAGATCCTACCTAGTTCAGCCTGGTGGCAGAGGCAAGTTCAAGTCCTCCCGCCGCCCCTCCCCCGGTCCACATAGTAAGTTTCAGAACAGCCAGGACTGTCTAGAGACCCTGTCTCAAACAAAACAAAACAAGTTAACAAGCAACAAGCAAGCAAACAAAACAACAACAACAAAGAAAACAGGGCAGAGTATTTCACTTTCCTGACTTTCAGTTTCCTCACTCATCAAAGGGGATAATAATTGCAGTTCACAGGGCTGTCGTGTGAATAGATTTAAAAGGTGAGTATGAAACCAGTTGTCAGCACCTTAGAAGTATAAAACAAGGTGGGTGTAGGTTAGGGCAGGAAGAGGGGTTCTGGAAGAAGCCTGGTGGTGGAAAGCCTGGCTACATAACCTGAGGCCCCGCCCCCTCCCCATTCTTCCTAGAGGGGCTGGGATGCGCCTATTTTCACCTGCTCTCAAGGTGGCTAAAGTACGATGCATTACACAGGCAAACATCATCGATTTGGCAAAGCTCTGGCTCCAACCCGGGCTGGTTCTACCGGGAGGAGACAGATGCCGAGGCTCCAGGAGCCTCCAGCACCTAAGACAGTCTGATCTATCAGTGTCTCCCACTGGGCACATCACCGAACCCAGGTCTTTTTCCTCCAAAACTGCAGCTTTCTCCTTACCTAGCAGGGAAGAGGACTAAATGGCCGCTCTTGTAAACACTTTGCAAAAGGGATGAGAGGTACGATAAGGAAAAGGCAGAGTCTCAGAGTTGTGCTGTCCAAAGGTGCCAACGCCCGGCTGCTGCCACTGGTAAGCAGGCTGCTCTGAAGCGCGACGGGCCATCCCAGCAGACGTTCTCAAGCCACATGCCTTTGTCCACAGGATGCCCCGGGCTTAAGCTCTTGGCCCAGTTGAAGTGCTTCTCCCCAGCCCCCAAACCAAGCGAATCTCCCTGCTAAAGATCTGAGGGGCAGGGGCGCCCATCCCACGGCGCCGGGGCGACGTCTGGGTTCGTCTCGCACCCGGACTCTGGCACAGGACACCCTAGTCCTGACCAGGAGGATGCTACTCACCTGGTCCTCACGGATTGCAGCCTGGGGTCGTGGCCGCTGCGCCCCACACCCCCATTCCTGAGCCGGCCGCAGGGGGCGCGGCCCTCCTCGACTGAGTCCGGGGCATGCACTGATGCTTTCCCTTCCCAAGGGATGTGCAAGAGGGGCTCCGGGGAAATGGAGCGGGCTGCACCCAGCAGAACCAGGTGGGCTTCCGAAAAGGACTCTGGCCGATTGGAGGGGCGCGTCCCCCACCCTCTCCCCCCCAACAGCCCCCCAAACCCACCCCCAACCCCCCCACCCCC